TATTCTATTCTATTCTATTCTATTCTATTCTATTCTATTCTATTCTAATTCTATTCTATTCTATTCTATTCTATTCTCCTACTCTACTTTACTTTTACTTTACTGTACTCCTACCTAGCACTCTGTACTGGACCTCTGAATTAAGCCTTGAGAGATTTCTTTGGTTTGCACATGGCAACATTGAGAGCACAACCATTCTCTGCATTAACCTGAGCTCTTGGTTTGGTGTCGTAGTGTGTGAACCCTGCTAGAATGGTAGTGATAATAAGGGTACCCCTGTTCACATTTTACAAGCACTCGGGGGCCTTGTTAGAATAGTAGCTTTATTTATTTATTTACTCTAATTATTTATTTATTTATTCTATTTATTTATTTATTCTATTTATACAGCCACCCACCTCAAATTACTGGCTCAACTCCTGATACTGGGCAGGGGGTGGACCAGATGGTCTCCAGGGTTTTTTTCAAGCCTGGCGTTTTATGTTTCTATCACTCTAGAAATGCCTGCCGGTTTCCTTTGTACTCTATTTTTTGGTGGTGTTGGAGAATGCTTTCATTCCACAAGATCTTTCCTGCTTGATCTTTTGTGTTTCAAAGGTAAGGCAAGCGTCCTTTGTAAAAAAAAATATACCATTGTGTCTTTTAATGCTCTTGCTTTTGATGTTTTCTGCCTTCTTTGATCTTTAAATATTGATGGAGCTATCTATATAATATTATTCTTTGCTACTATTGCGATATCATTATTATTGTAGTTATTGTCGCCCTTGCAAAAATGAATTATTTTTTTTAAGAAAAGCAGAATACAATTAACATGGGCTCCGCTAACTGGCAGGTTTTACCTGCTTTTCCACTTCTCAGTAGAGCTTAAATGCTGAGGGCTAGAAGCTGGGTTTTTAAAAAGCAGCACGGCCGCTGATTTTCAGGACCCTGGGTTTTGCGCTTATGGGATGTAACTGCAGCGAGCAGAAGAACATCTGGTTGTGCATGTGTGCGAATTTTTATGTGTGTTTAAACACAAGAGAGGAGAGGAGTGAAGGGAAAGGGAATAGAATTAGAGGAGGGGAAAGAGAGGGGGGAAAGGAAAGTGGATAGAAGGAGAGGAGAGGAGAGGAAAAGAGAGGAGAGAGGAGAGGAGAGGAGTGGAGAGGGGGGGAAGGGGATGGAGAGGAGAGGAGAAAGAGGATAGAAGAGGAGAGAGGGGATAGAGAGGAGAGGAGTGGAGAGGGGGAAGGGGATAGAGAGGAGAGGAGGGAAGGGAAGAGAAGAGAAAAGAGAATGCAGGAAAGAGGAGGCAAATGTGGTGCCCAACTGCTACTGGGGGTCCCGGGTTTGCAAAAAAGTCGCCTGCTTGAGTCTCTGCACAGAGAGAGACCCCCCCCCAACTCATCCCTGGGGCTTGGGCAAGGCTGGGGCAGTCCCTCCCCTTCCTGACTTGGGGGTGTCCCGGGGCAGCGAGGATGGAAAAAGACCCACCGGTACTCGGCTCGCATTCCTCCAAGTCCTCATCGTCGCTGGGACACTCGGCCGAAGCCACCAGCAGGTCGTCTGAATTCTGGAGAGAGGGAGAGAAAGGGCTGAGGGTCAGCAGGGAGGGGGACAATCCACAGGGCTATCTACCCGCCCCCACACACACCCATCTATCCCCTCCCATCCAACTCGCCCGTCCCAACGTTCACCAATGTTGGCTTTAAAAAACAAACAAAAAAACCCCCACATTGCCCTCCTCAATCTCTGGCACAAATTTCCAATTCTTTGTTAGGATTGAAATCTCTCTCTCTCCCCCCCCCCCACCCCCTTTGATGGGGAACGGAAGGATTTATACTCCTTGCAGACATAGTACCACCCAGTCCTTTCGGCAGTTCCAAGAAGGCTCCACACCCATTTGCACCACTCGGGTGACCCTGAGGATAAAACCTCCAAGTGGCCTCAGCGACCCTCTAAAAGGATGCAAATGACCAGCTGTCTGCGAGGAGTATCAATCCTTCCGTTCCTCACCATCCAGTCAGAGCTGAAGAAGCTTCTGGGATGGGAAGCGAAACATCTTCAAAGAAAAAACCCAGAAAGTCCAATTGTCTCTTGGGAAAAAAAAAAGGCACCTTTGGGAGAACCAGGACCTGGAGGACTCCAGAATCTCCCTAGATATTCCGCTTGCAGCATCTGCAATGGTCTGGGTCTTTTTGCATCAGAGAACGGCAAAGCAGCTCCTTGCTCACATCTCTTGCCTGCCCCACTTTGCACGAGGGGCGTGCAATTGGCACTTGGAGGTGGTTTGACGGGGTATGAAGACCCCCCCTCCCCCTCCCTCCATCTCCTTGGTTCTGGATTTTTGCATACAGCTAGTAAACAGCAAAGGGGCTGGGAAACTACAGCTAACCTCTAGCAGACCGTGAGCCAGGAGGGAAGTACAACCGCAAAAACAGCAAACGCAATTCTCATCGGCACCAGGGAAAGAATAATTTCCACACCACAGAACAAAGTTCTGTTGTGCTAGCTTAAGATAGATTAAGAGTCCAGTCTCTTCTTGAAAGCCTCCAGGGATGAAGCTCCCACAACTTCCGAGGGCAACTTCTGTTCAATGGGTGGATTGTACTCACAGTCAGAAAATTTCTCCTTATTTCCAGGTTGAATCTCTCCTTGTTCAGTTTCCACCCATTAATCCTTGTCTGGCGCTCGGGTGCCTTGGAAAATAGCTTGATTCCTTCCTCCTCCTCTCTGTGGGAGCCCCTCAAATATTGGAAGACCGCTATCATGTCTCCCCTGGTCCTTTTCTTCCCTAGACCAGCCAGGCCCAGTTCCTGCAACCGTTCTTCACATGTTTCAGCCTCCAGTCCCCTCATCATCCTGGTTGCTCTTCTCTGCACTTTTTCTAGAGTCTCAACATCTTTTTTATAATGTGATGGACCAAAACTGGTGCAGCATTCCAGATTTTATTCTAACCAGCAACCCAATTACCCACTTTTGTGCCTAAGTACTTATTTATTTAAGCGCCTTGGTCCGATTACTCCCGAGGCACATAAAAAGAGGGATACATTAAAGCACATTAGAAGAGATTAAAACTAAAAAACTCCCATGGATTAAAATGGCAAAACGGAACGGCAGGCCTGGCTGCTGGGCCGTTCACGCGGATGTGCGCTACGCCGCCGGTTCGTGGCTGCAATATCGCATCCATAATGTAAGGTAAACGAAGAGCAGCAAAAATGGAGTTTTGGGCCAATTACAAAGACGAGTAAAAATAAAATTAAAGCAGGGATAAACGCGGCGCCTGACGAAAAGGGAAGTGTGGAGGTGTGACAAACAGACAGATTGAGGATTGCTTCATAATGGCAGTTGTCAAAACAACACCGTGGAGGTGGGGAGAGAGAATTGAAAATGCTGCCCTGGGGAGGCCCATCCAAGTCTTGCAAACTGGCTGCGGTGGTTGCAAAGAATAAGAATAGAGCTGGAAGGGACCTTGGAGGTCATCTAGTCCAACCCCCTGCTCAAGCAGGAGACCTTACACCATTTCAGACAAGTGACTGTCCAGTCTCTTCTTTAAAACCTCCAGTGATGGAGCAACCACAACTTCTGGTGGCAGGCAGTTCCACCGGTTAATTGTCCTCACTGTCAGGAAATTCCTCCTTAATTCCAGGTTGCTTCTCTCCTTGATCAGTTTCCATCTGTTAGTTTCTTGTCCTGTCCTCTGGTACTTTGGAGAATAGCTTGACTCCCTCTTCTTTGGGGCTGCCCCTGAGATATTGGAATGGGCAACATTTCCACCATGAAAAATGAAAA